AAACAAAAATAATATATATATATATATTCAGTCCACACTCCCTCTCTCACTCTCTCTCTCTCTCTCTCTCTCTCTCTCTTTCTCTCCCTCTCCCCCTTTCTCTCTCTCTCGCCCTCCCTTCCTCTCTCTCTTCTTTCCCCCCCCCCCCCGCACTTCACAGGGCGTTAATAGGGCGGGCATTATAAACAAACTTTTATCTCTAAGGCAATTAAGGTTAACGAAAAAAAAAAATAAACTCTCACTCTCCCTCCTCTCCCTCTGTCGAGCTTCGTTGAGGAGAGTGAGGGAGAGAGGGGAGGGAAGGAGGGAAGGAGGAGGGGGGAGAGGGAGGGGAGGGAAGGAGGAGGGGGGAGAGGGAGGGGAGGGAAGGAGGGAAGGGGGTGAGGGAGGATGTCGTGGACCACTGTGCATCAACAGTGACCACGACCTCACCATACGTCAATATTCATTTCTTAATCTCCTGCAGGGTTGCTCCTATCGCACAAATCCCACGAATCCCACATAACGAGGTCAAAATCTCCCGAGGGTGAGGATGCTTTCCACGCGCCCTGCGGCTAGGCGCATAGAAAACGTGAAACAGAAAACGTGCCCGCCTGGTCGACCATGTTTTATTGTTTTGTTTGTTTGTTTTTCCTCCTTTTTATTAAAACATGTATGATTATACATTATTTTTACCCTAAGAAAGACCATGAATAAAACCATGAATAATAATAAGTACATAACTTCATGGGTTTCCAATTTCTTTTTTTTTTACTTTTAAAGTAACAATTTTAAAGTCCTCTTCTATTTTATATTTATTTTAGTTGTCTTGATTTTATTTTCACTATATAAGAAGGGGATAGATTTTTTTTATACTTCTAAGTAGAGAGTCCCCCCGTCATTTTAAATTGCTCCCGCCACGAAGTAACAAGGGAAGGCCGAAAACACACGACAGGGGGTCTTGCTGTCGGTCTGGTCGAGTAAGGAAGGGTGTGAATGAGTAACCCCGGAATGGGCACTCTCCTCCCTAAGAAAGTGGTCGCGGAGTATTCGCAGTAAAGGTAATGGGAGACTTTCATGCCTTTTATTAAAGCCAGTGATTTTCTTAAGACCAGTGCTGAGGACTTTTAAAGTTAGTGACATCCTTTTATGGTTTTCATGGTTTTTCATATTCTTGTTTTACTTGTCTTAAAGTTTCTTAGTGTTACTTAGTGTTTTGTTTTACGTGTTTCTGTGTTTTACGTGTTTCTCAGTGTTTGTTTTACGTGTTTGTGTTTTACGTGTTTGTGTTTTACGTGTTTCTCAGTGTTTTGTTTTACATGTTTCTTAGTGTTTTGTTTTACATGTTTCTTAGTGTTTTGTTTTACATGTTCCTTAGTGTTTTGTTTTACGTGTTTCTTAGTGTTTTACGTGTTTTTTAGTGTTTTACGTGTTTCTCAGTGTTTGTTTTACGAGTTAAAGTTTCTTAATGTTTAATAAATGGTAATGTTTTCGACAAGTTTTCCGTACCCTCTGTAATTGAAGGTCATAAGGCAAATGGACGTGTTAAGATGAAAGATTTCAAACACTAAATCGTAACCTTCTGCGATAGGGAGTAATCCCCCGCACACGCCTCTCCGGCTGAATACACGCATGCCGCCTTTTCACGTTCTCGCACCATCACCTACACTCATACACACACTTACATACTATCTCTCCGTTCCTTCCACTCTTCCGTACACTTCACCAATTCTTCTAAACACGCACTCGTACGTTCCCATACGGTAATTAAATGGGTGGTGGCAGCGCGCGCTTTTTGAACTGTGCGAGAAAGTAAAGGAGTACAAGTTACTACAACGGCCGACTATTATTATTTGGTGCCCAGCGGTGGGATTCGATCGTTGTATTGTGCTGACCAGTGGGAAACGATGCGATTTAGTTGTTTGCGCAAGTCAATAGCTAAGTACAGAACCGCACACCGTAAATAAGCAGCCGGTAACGTAACAGTAAACAAAGCGGTACTTGGTGTTTTAGCAATTCTAGTATTTGTTTGATTCCTTATTACGTTCATTGGGACAATGAGTAGGAGATTAAGACGTAATAACGGAGAGACCGTCGGTACGTCTAGGACCAGTTCACCTAGACGAGATGAAAATGCGTTGCCAGGGTCGACGCACGAGTTGCAGCACGATCAACTAGATTTACCGATGTATGAAGAGTTAACACAAAAGTTTCAGCAGTTAAGCGAACAGATGGCTCAGATTCAGGCACAATTGGCAACAATAACTCAAAGTACTAATGATGCCTCATTAGCATCTGAAGCTCGCCCACCAGTAGAATATGTTATGTACAAAGAATCTGTCCCTCATTTTAAAGCAGACACTCCAGCCTCACAACCCCTTAAAAGGAATCAGGAGGTCGAGTCGTGGCTACGACAGATAGAAAACGTAACTCAGCCGCGGACGGACGAGTCATTCATTAGAGCCGCACGTAGCTCGTGCCGCGGCCATGCTGACCTGATAATTAACTCGCCAGTTTTTGA